CTACTAATTGCTTGGCTTACAGTTAGTCAGGCTGATCTAGTATCTCCATCAGTCCCAAATTCATGCACCCTAATTACATTGAGAACAGCAACAAACTGTGTTACAGTGGTGTCTCTGCTTCTAGGTCTAGCGACCACTCTTCTCATAAACAACAAGCCGCTGCTAGCTCTGCAGTGAAAAGCATCTTTGTGTGGTTAAGTAGATTCATGATGGAAGTAGAGTGTTGATGCAGTAACATTGTTGCCTGCTTTGGTGTCAGGCCAGATACCAGTTAGCACAAAAGGACAAAATTGGTTCTGTACTTTTAATTAATGATAATTGCCTGCCACCAGGCCAATTCCAACTTATGGCAAAGTTTTTCAGAGTTTTCTATGTGTGAAGTACCTGGAGATGGTTCGTCAGTGCTTATTGTCCCAGTAGGATAGCCATTGATCATGTGGCATTGGGAATTATGGGAATTGTAGTACAAAAACATTCATTTCATCCTATGAGATGTGCTTAAGTCTTTGTTTTGCATAGTTCTGTTCAGAGATTGGAAGTAAATATTTACAAATGACATAATTACCTGTAATTAGTTTTTGTGGAACAAAGGTGGGACTAAATTACACTTCAAAAATAACAACAAATAGTTTTCTGATATAAGAATTAATACTTTCTAACTACGGTACTTCCAGAAGTTACTATGAAAATGAATTTTAAAGGTGTTTTGGGTTAAATGTTTTTCATGCCCAGAGTAGACTTCGGTCTAGATGGGCAGGGCATAAATAAATAAATAAATAAACAAACAAACAAACAAACAAATAAATAAATGCCTTTCATCCTAAGGGAGAAACAGTTTTGCTTTATTTTTTTGTTTTCAAGGTGTAGAATTGGACAGTAGAGGAAACAGAAGTACTGTATATTTCCTCATATTTTTCTAGTAGCAAAAACAGCACAATGTAGCCATGATGCCTAATGGAACAGAGCCTTTTCATCCATAGAGGGAATTATCATGAAAAGGTTAGCTATGGTGCTGCAAATTAATATGTAAAACAACATGCACCTTCTTAAAAAGAACATAAAAGTTTGATTCTGTTCTCTTTCTTTTCTGATGGGCAGGTAGCCTCTTGTCAAAAAGACAGGACTTCAAAGAAGAGGGAAAAATGCTACAAATATATAGGGAATAGTTCATAATTGATTCCCAGCACCACTATTTGGAAGAAATGAAAAGACATGGCAAGAGTAATGTTGGAGAGAGCCAATGTTGTTTGTCTGCAGAAGAGTTAATGCATCACACTAACAAATATTCGCATTGCCATAGGCTATCTCCTTCATAGTTTAGGTGGCCATGAATTGAGATAAAGGGCAGAATTAAGTTCATCTGTATGAAAACTCAGTGACATCAAACTTAGCAGAGAATCATTTTAGTGTTAATTACACACACATTGCTTTCTGCCTGTTAAACTGGTTCCTATGATTCATATTGTTTGGTTGCTCACTTGACATTTCTAAATCCAGTCTTACAAAAACAGCATTTTAGAAATAAGGTTCCTTCTGGGTCGGAGAGATGTGTTTTGAGTCAATGATAAATCTTTCATGGCTTGTAGAAAGGTTGAAACAGCAAAGCTGAATTCTTTCTATTAAAAAAAAAGCATGTGCTTATTTTTTTAACAAAGGGGGATGAAAATTTATGAGGGTGAAATTCATACTGGTTACTTTAAAGGATTCTGAAATAACAGCTTCCCACCCATTCACAGGGGAGGAGGAAAAACAGAGCTGTGTAACACACACACACAAACACACTTTCAAGCTACAGCTGATGTCAAAAGGGCAAACATGGATCATGTAGCGTTCAGTGGATAGTCATTAGTGTTAAGTGGAGAATAGCCTTTTATTTTACAGAATGCTACCAACAGGCCAGAAAAATAGGCCAGAAAAATGATCAGATAAATACCACTAACAAGTTAAAGAACACATGCAGTTAAAGCAGCTCTGAACAAAGACATCTTAAATAATTTTGCCTACCCATTCTTATCTGGTTGAGGAACCAGAGGTGGGAAGTTTGATTCCTCACTGTGTCTTGTCAGCGGCTGGATTTGATGATCCATAGGGTCCCTGACAGTTCTGCAGTTCTATTATATTGTCATCCCAAGAAAATTGCCCATAGTGTGATTTTAAAGTTCCAAACCTTTTAATTTATAACAGGCATTTTATTTTCTTCAAAGACATTGTCCACAGGTAATCATTTCATTAAGTCTTCCCAAAGCATGATTTTCCTTTATAATTTTTCATTCTACACTATTTAATATGGACTTTTAAGTCAAGTCTGGAGTGCCTGAATGTTGGTTGTTTGATGCTATAAGTAGAGCTTGAGAAATTATGAGGCTGGATTCAGCTCCAAAGAAATTACCTGTTTAGACTACACCCCCAGAAATTTCCAGCACAGTCAGTGACTGAGGGATTCTGGGAACTGGAATTCAAAATGGTTAAGTTTTCCAAGCTCTTGCTCTAACAAGATTTACCTGATCCTGGGCTTATTAGCAACCAGTCATTAAAGTCTCTCTCTCTCTCCTGCACAATTGTTTATTGAAGAATCCAGCTGGCTCCCATTATGTTGTATTTAGATTGTCAAGTAATAGTAGCAGAGCTGTAGGAAGGTGGAGATTCCTCCTTTTCATTTTACTCTGTGGTTTCTTCATATAGACAATGTCTGATCACAATTTTGGCCCCAAAGTGAATGAACTAGTTGAAGGTGCATTTACACAAGACTAAACTCCTATTTGTTCAGTGCTTTAAAGCATGTGGGGCACATCCTCTTTTATCATTTCTTTCGTCACAGAAATGCAACTGTCTGAAGATATTACCTGCTATTAGACCCTCCTCCTCTTCAGACTAAAGTGACTATGGAAGTGGGCTCCATATACTTTAAAGTTCATCTGAATGGCCTTTAAAGTATATGGAGCCCACTTCCATAAATGGAATACCAAGCTATCAAGAACTGGAATAGTGCCATGTCCTTTTCTACCCATAGCCACCTTCTATGACACTGGAAGTTTTATTTCTACTGTATGGGAATGTGATAATTTATAGTTTGATTTTCCTAAGAGTTTAGCAAAATCCATACATTTCTTCACATTCAGAATAAAGATATGGAGAAAAAGCAGGGCATGAGATAGGACTCAATTTGTCCTGGCACCACAGCTACAAGAAGAGAGCTTAGAGGTTTCCTTGGTCCTGCTGGTGCTTCCTTGTGTATATATGTGAATGAATGAGAGGAGAATGATCCTATTTAGTGAATCCAAGATAAATTATTCTTTAGACATAAGGAGTTGGGGTTGAGAGACACACTTCCTTTGAAGATACTTCCCAACCACCTCCTTCAGCTGTGTTTCTATATGTTCCTACTTGGCTGTGTGCCAGAACCAAAGTGAAACATACATGATGCTGCATGCGAATTACCTAAAAGCAGAAAGAGCTTGAGCATTTGTTTTGTAAACAGCACTAATATCTTCTTTTGGCTGGAAAAGGGAAGCTAAAAATAAAACTGTTTTACTTGACATTTTCTTTAACAATTAAGATCAAGATACCTAGCTGCAAGAACTTTGGGGCAGATGAAAATGTAGTGGAGGTCAGGTCAAAGTAATGCAAGGTATGATTTAAGATAACTGAAACATGCAGTTTTCAACTGTGTCAAGTAGTCTTAATTCTAATGTGCAATTTTAATAAAAGAGTTGATATTTCGATTAACTTAGGTTTGAAGTATGTAAATTTTCCTTCTTTTGGGATCAGCTATCATTGTTCTGCCAGCACTGAAATCCTGTCTTTTGGAAGTGAAGATAAGAAAGCATTCATAGTGATCCACACATGTATGGGGCATCTTAGGCTCTCTGATCTGTTACTGTTTTAAGATGCTAAAGCTGCTGTTTGTGGAAATCTTCACTTTTAAATTTGAGCCATGTGTGTTCTGTTTTAGAATTGTGCTGTTAATTATAGGTATTTATTATTGACACCTGTCCAGCAACTTTTCACCACTATTTTAGAAAGAAATTATAACCCCTTTGATAAGTTAAACACTTCCAACAATTTATGCTGTAAAACACCCTTCACCTCAAGGAAGTTGTCACTTGGGGAAAAAAACAGAGCTGCCTATATGAGCTATCTATTAACAGTTTTTAAAATAATAATCATCAAGTCAATTCTGACTCATGGCAACACTTTTCAGGGTTCTCTAAGTAAAGAACACTTAAAAATGGTTTACCACTTCTTTCTTCTTGGGGTGCCCTGGGGCTGTGGAGGTTGCCCAGGGCCACACAGGCTGCCTTTTCTCATAGGAGGCATAGTGGGGAATCAAACTCCCAATCTCTTGCTCCGCAGCCAGATACTGAGCTATTGAGCCAGCTATTTAGTAAGTCAACAATGGCAATGAAAGTAGTATGGATGGCTGAAGACGATTTGCATGCCCCCTGTTCCTCTCTCCTTTTCCATTTGAGCTGCAGAAAAACATTTCTTTAGTACCTTTTATATCCCATCTTTCCTTCAAGGAACTATTAAAAAGAAAGGCTTTTCCCCCCACCATGAAATATAAATACATTATTTTAACACAACCACTGGTTTTTTTATGGCTGGGAGAGGGGCTTCTGTCAGAATTCCTACAAAAGGTGTAGACATTCCTTCAAAAACACAATAATAAACAGTAACGTCTAGTTAGAGCTAATCGAAATCATTCCATGTTCCATTCTTTTCTTTTCTTTGTCTCTTCCTGTAAATAAAATGTCAGTACATTCATATTTTGGCCAGTTGTACTTATGTATCAAATTTATATTTCATGATGAGGCATGTTTTTAATAGTTTCTTGAAGAAATTAGTTGCTTCATGTATTGTGACACATTATGTAAGATTGCCCTGTATAATAATGTGTGTCACAATATACGAGGAAACTTTCAGTGAATTTCTAAGCTAAACAGGAGTTTGAGTCTGATCTGCTTAATACCCTATAAATACTAGCAATGGAAACAAATGCATTAGGCTCTTTTGTCTTTATTATCTCAAACCAGCCTTGCTACATCTACATTCAGTTTGTAAATACACTCTCCCACAACTATATACATCCTGATGTGCAACATATACAAAAACTCTTATAGTAGGGAACACAGTTTTTCATGGGTATGCAAACTCATTAGAAAGAATTTGTGAAGAATGAAGTTTGTTGTTTGTCATTTTAACAGTCTTCTAATCCATATCTGCTGTGCTGTAACCTGCGATTTCCCAAAGCCATCATCTGAAGTTTAATACCCATATTTTTCATTCAGGTGAGTTCTGCCATCGCCACTTTGACCTGTTCAATACAAGAGGAAAAGTGTGCAGTTTCCTTTAAAAAAATATCTGCCTCCAGTAGTGAAAACATCACAGAGAAACAGAGCAAACACAAGATACTTAACTAAATGGGATTTCTCCCATGTGGTGCCCCTCTCCCCAGACATCTTCAACTACAAATTTAGCATCTCTGGCAATGCTAACAGCATCTGTTAAAATTTTTGGTTCAAGATATTTACAGCAGTAGTTCCCAACCATGGGTGCCCAGATGTTCTTGGACTGCAACTCCCAGAAATCCTGGCCAGCACAGCAGGTGAAGACTTCCAAAATTCTAGTCAAAGACACCTGAGGACCCAAGCTTGTGAACCATTGTTCTAGAGGGTACTCTGTCACTGAAGTCTGACAAAGACTTTTCATACTACAAAAACGAGTCTTGTTTTAATATGCATTCAGTATTAACTGGAAACATTGATTTGAACCATGAACAATGAATATACTGTAAGGTTAGTGGAGGCACAACATTTTGGCTCTGCCATGAACCAAAGCCCTTTTCTATTAAGAAGAGACAGAAATTTAATAGTTTGGTGTACATCAATTGTGTGACCCATGGAAAAGGTATTTTACAGAATTGTTTGCCAACAATAATTCTTTAAATATTTTTTCAGATTGTTAATTAGTTAACTAACAGGAGATTAAAAAAATAGTTAAGAGGATAATTTTAACAATGAAAAAGCCAGGTGTTAATCAATCTTGAAGGTAGAAGTAAGCAATCTCCTGAGATGCTGGGACCCTGGATGGCCACATTTGCTTGGGATTGCACCTCTTACCAAAAATGGAGCCTTTTTGAAATATGAAAAAGCCTCCTTATACCCTCTAGTGGCAAAACATTGCTTAAAAATAATGCTGGGCCTGCAAAACAGCAATTTTCCCCCCACATCTGCCTGGATAACACATGGAGACTCTGAGGCAAAGATAATTTTTTCAATATTTTCTTAGTTTTAGGGTGTGTGAAAATGTGGTGGGGGCAGGACTGAGAGATACATATTGGCCACAAAGGACTTTTTATATTTAACCTCTCAATAATGAAATGGCTGTCTGAGTGATCACTCAGCTTTATGGTAGACAAAATTCTGTTTGTGTATTGATAATATCAATTCCACCAGCCACCAAAAATCTGGTGGATTTTTGATTATTTAATGCTCCTCTTGTTTTCCAAGGCTCCCAAAGGCTTCCCCAGGGTAAAAGGGAGCTTTGGAATCTGAAATGGAGAGATAGGAAGCTTTCAAATAATTAAATTAAATTTTCCTGGCACTAGTTGAAGACATCATCATCTTCTGTTGGCATAAATGTATGCAATGGGATTTTATCTGCTGTCTTAGGGCCAGGTTATATGTTCTGCTGTTTGGTAGATCAGTAAGAGGTGTTTAAAATGCATCTGGTATGTTCATGTGATTTTTTTTCTTCTGGCTTCATACCTAGCCTCGCTACTGAAACTGTTTGGTTACCGTCATGGACAAAGACAGTAAATCAGTATGTTGATTCTCTTGTTAATTCACTTCTTTTAATGATCAAAATTACTGGCTTTCACATAGTTTATGAGCTGGGAGCACTGGTTTACAATGATTTCACCTCTGTCTTACTGAACAGATCTGATAAGGAGCTGTTAGTATAAGGCAGCTCATGGAGCCAGATGGGTGTGTGTGCTTGACTAGATTGGGGGGGGTCACTTCCTACGACAAGCTCCATATTGTTAGGGACTGCTGTTTCAGCCCAAATAATGTAACCAATAGCATGCTGCCTTTATTCTTGTTTCATAAAAAGTAGATATATCATAAGAATTTTTTGAGCTGAGAGCGTGCAAAATGCAAGAGTAGTCCAACCACTACAACAGAATGAGCAACTGCGAACCTCCAGATGTTTTCAGTTTTTAATTCCCTTCCAGCATAGCCAATCTTGAGAGGTTACAGGAATAGTAGTCCAAAAACATTTGTGGGGGTCATAGTCGCTTATCCCTTGCACTAGACTTAAATTCCCCAGGATGCAGAGCTTCTGCATATGTGAAATTAAGAAGAGAATACTCATATAAACCTTGTGTTGATTGCCAGGATTTTTAGTAGAGGCAGCCCTACACACATATCTCATTATGAAGAGTAAACACAGGAGAAGTCTTGATAACATCTTGTTCTCTTTTTCAACTAGGTTAAGGTCTGCAGAATTACAGGTTCTGTAGTGCGGCAGCAGCCAAACCATATGGCAGATTATGTATAAAAACTACAATATCTTATGAATGCAGGCCTTACTTATTTAGATAATCTCAATATAGGGCCAATTTCATGCTGTAGACTATCCTTTGCCATCCCAACAATTACCTTCAGGAGGCATCCATACACAATAATCTGGATCATCTTCTGGATATTTTGAGGGCATAGTATGTTGAACCTGTAAAACAGAATTTAATTTATTTGACAATTATATGGAATGAATGACCTCAATATAAAAATATTATGCATTTTAAAAATTAAAACATATATTAAAAAGTGTGCAGAAGGTTTGGGAATTTTATGTTTTAGTGTGGAATTTGTTTGATTTTTAAAAAATATTTGTAGAATTGCTATTTTTGGCTTTTAAATATTGTCTTTTACTGATGTACGTCGCATTGGGTCCTCTTAAGAAGAAAGGTGGGGTTAACATAAATTAATTAATTAATTAAATAAATCAGTAAGAGAAAGATGAGGTAAAATATTTTAAATAAATAAATAAAAATAAAATGTTATTCGCTGTCAAATCCACAACTGGCTGTTTCACATGCATTGCCAAACAATGGTTTATAATTTGTTTTCATGTGCAGTTTGTGGACAAAATATTGGCTGAAATCCTGTTGTTTTTGATTAAAGGTTTCCTTTGGTGATTTTGGGGTACATGCGACTCATATGTAATGTGACAAAGTTGTAGGCACCTCAAAATTCCAAAGGTAGCTTTTAATCAGTAACAATTTTCCACTGATGATGATATCATTCCCATTGCATACATGCAGATGCACAACAGGATTTCAGCCCCTATTTACGGAAACCACAGCTCTTTCTTTTGGGAAGTAACACCAAACTATGGTTTGCTACAAATGAGAAGATGCAGAGCACAAGATAGGAGGAGAAGGAAGTGTGCAGTTTTGAGGGGTTTCAATGCGTTTCAATGGGGTTTTTTTTTTGCTTTACGATGTTTTCGCTTAACGGTGATTTTCCTGGAACGGATTATTGCCGTTAAGCGAGGCACCACTGTACACTGAAACAGAAAAAAAATTCATTTTATTTTTTAAAAGTTAAATTTCAAAATGAAAATACTGTGTGGCATGAAAATGGGTGAACAATTAAGTCTGACTTTCTATACTAGATAATATGAAAGGTTAAATAAAAATTAAAGAGTATTAAGATTACAGTGGTAAACTGCAACTACAGTAGGCCTATTAAATCAGTGGGGATTTAGTGAGTCAACTCCTCCATAAATTCCTCTGTTTCAATACTCTAGGTGCAACTTACTACTGGATTTCAGCCACGGTATCCACTGACCAAAGTTCTGTTACTTAGCATAGTAACTTGCACTAGAGTAAGTCCCTTGAATCAATAGGGAATTGGCAAGTTAATTCCTATGTACATTTCATTTTCAATGGGCCTACTCTAACTTCAACTTACTTTAGAATAGTAAGTCACAAAGTGAACCCATTTCAATTAAAGAAGCTTATGGAATTGACTCTCCAAATCCATATTACTGTAATCTTGCAAACAGACGCCAGCAGCACTGTCTGTATACCACAACAGATGGGTGGAATTTCTTACACAATTTCTCTGTTAGGGTTGCAGTAGCTGATTAAATCATTGCTATCAAGTCAGATAATTAAAGCATTGCTAGGATATATCAAAATCCAAATCTCTGAATTATAATTGGTGATATGGCTCCTTGTTACTTTCAATAGTGAATTAACTATTAAGTCATTTTGGATCCTTTTAAGGAGAAAGGTGAGATAAAAATATTTTAAATAAATAAGTAAATAATAAATAAAACATAAGTACCTTTATTCGGAGAAAGGCAAGTAAGTAAGTAAATAAGTAAGCATGTATTCCCCAAATATCAGCAGATATCACATTTTCAGATGCATAAATGTTCCATTCAGCTGCTGCCCACTGCTACTAACATGGAAACAACTACAGTGGACCCTCGACTTACAGACGGCTCGACTTACAGACTTTTCGAGTTACAGACTTCTCTGGCCGCAAAATTTAGATTTGACTTGCAGCCGGAGAATCGACTTACAGACCAGAAAAAACCCAAAATGGAACAAAAATAGAATAAAAACTGCCAGTTATAGGATTAATTGGTTTTCAATGCATTGTAGGTCAATAGAGATTCGACCTACAGATTTTTCGACTTGCAGCCACCGTTCCAATACGGATTAATTCTGTAAGTAGAGGGTCCACTGTACTGTAAAATGCCAGTATCAAGTAATTCCTTTTTTTAATTAATTAAAAACCCCACAGAAGCAGGGAATAGAGTGATCTACTGAAAGCCTCTACCTGTTTATGAGTTTTAGTTCTCCAAACTTACCCTACTTGCACTGTTAGCTTTCATACTCTTGGGCTTTTCTCCAGGCTTCTGCAATGCTTAAAAAAAGGTGAGAAAAACTAGATTAATATTAGTCATTATTAATTCTTTAGCCCAGTAGTTTGGAGCAGATGGCTGCAAAACAGGAATCAGGAGTTCAAATCCTGATTGTATATCCTGGGAGAAAACCAGGTAAGAGCACAGGTCACTGATGGATGGGGTTACATGCCCTGCCACTGTTACGTTGAATCAATTTAACGGCACTTAATAATATAACCATTAACTCTTAATTCCCCAAAGGTACTAGTCAAACAAATTCAGTATAAACAAATCATCTGTGCCTGGAGGACAGAGGCCAAGGAGGCATTAAATAAAGCAACGTATCTCTACTCTCTCTGACCTAAAATTGTGTACATTCCAAAAATTTAGTGTCAATACGATATATGACTGTCCTGCTGTCTTTGGGCTACTGCTCAGGTAAAGGAGTCTCAAAAACAAAAAATAAAGTAGCTGTGACATCTTACAGACTAATTGCTATATTTTAATGTGAGCTTTCCTGGGCAAGTCCACTTCTTCAGACGTAAGAGTGGGTCCCATTTCTGAATTCATGGGTTCAAGCCAAATCTTTGTTTTCCTTGCAATCATATAATATAGCAGAGTTTTATCATCTATCAGAGGTATTTGGTCATTCTTCTTTATGCACTCTACCCTGTTGTGTGGCTCAAAATGGAAGCGTGGGATTAGCCTCCTCAAAAGGGAAGCAGCTCTATATCATAGCTCACCTTGCGGCTTCTTCTGGAGCATATTCACTGGTGTTGCTGCACCTCCACTGAAAGGTTCAGATTGAAGTCTGGTTCCTGTAAAAGTAAAATGAGACTCTAGAGTTAGCTAACTAGCTCTATTAATGAGGACAGGAATAGTAACATTTAAATGTCCGGTAATTATTACAACCTCCCCCTATGAATCATAGAATACTTCTATGTTGGCCAACATTTTCATCCAATGAGCCTGTGTTTTTTTTAAAATACTACCTTAAACGCTAACCTATGCGTAGAAAGGTGGCATACAGATAATATAAATATATAATAAAGCAGTCTGTGCACAATATGCAGCAATTATGCTACAAAATGTCACAGGAGATCACAGATGTTCAGAGTTAAATGAGTAAGGGCAGAAAAAAAGGTGTCTTGAGCTTTAATGTAACATTTTAATATAAAAGTGCAGCACTTACTGGACTGGAGAGTGGTGACTATTTTCTAATTTACCTTGAAGTCTGCATCAACAATATTCATTAACTTACTAATATGGCACCACTACTTTATGTGATTTCCAACGAACAGGTAGAAACTTAGTATTCTAGGTTTAAAAGAACTCTTTATGCACAATATTCCTATTAACAATGAACTAAAGACTTTTAGAACAATAGTATTACTATTCTTCTTAGTTCATGACTACATACAAAATAGTAACTGCTAATAACTGAGAGATCAAACAGCCTATGAGTATGGCTATCAGTTCAACACTTGGGAGCTGCCAAAATTGCAGTGAGTGTGTATGTATGCACACTTAGCTACTCCCACAATCTGACCCAAGTCACACAACATGTTTATAGCTGATGTTAATGAATAAATGCTAGCTATGCATCAGTTGGAAAGGAAGATGTGTGGGTAGCAAAGTTGAAAGACGAGAGAGAGAGGAAAAATATAGGAGACTCACTATTCCCTCTTTCTTCCATCAAGACAGTGCCCAGCATGTTATCTTAGTCAACATATCCCCAAATCTAGACTATTCAGCCCAAAGAGATGGGAACAAAATTTTCCCTATGTGTAGATCTATACCAAGCCCCACACTTCCACACTGCTCTTAAAAAAATCTCTGTTGGGATTCTCATAAGTACTTAAGAAAATGAATATAATTATTGAAGACTGCCATCAAGATAAAACCTTAATAGTCCGTTTCTATCTTTTAGAGATTTAAAAGAGTGGTCGAAAGACCAGATAGGTGGGATATAAATTAAACAAACAAACAAACAAACAAACAAACAAATAAAACAACTGAAATCCAGATGAAAATCTCTGTTGGGATTCTCATAAGTACTTAAGAAAATGAATATAATTATTGAAGACTGCCATCAAGATAAAACCTTAATAGTCCGTTTCTATCTTTTAGAGATTTAAAAGAGTGGTCGAAAGACCAGATAGGTGGGATATAAATTAAACAAACAAACAAACAAACAAACAAATAAATAAAACAACTGAAATCCAGATGGACTGGAAATGGGAGAGTCATTTACTATCGTTAACGGAATCCACGTCCACATCCTGGCTGCTATGAGAAGATGAACTAGCAGGGAGATGGTCTTGTTCAACTTTTTCTTGTGCAACAGTGTTTGCCTTTGAGTTTTCCATTCTTTGATATATATCTGTTGTCTTTGCCTCCTGATCTTCATCCTCCTCTTCCTCCTCCTCCTCCTCCTCCGGCCCCTCATCTTTCATCTTTAATAGGTTTACAGGTATATCTGGATGCTTTACAGGCAACTTCTGTATGGTGAACAGAAAATTTTTAAAAAGACATTATTATACCCTAAATGTGCTAATCAAAAAGGAACACAAGATACCATGCAATGATGCAATGTATTTTTCTAACAGTAGGAATAAGGGCTTGCTGAGCTTCTACTAAAATAAATATCTGTAAATATTCAAATATACAAATCTCTAAGCCAGTTAAAGCTGGATTATTTCTGTAGGACATACCACTGTTTATAGTAAGCAGGAATGATGTGGTCTAAGCTATCCTGGAACCCCCAACCAAAACAATCAGATTTCTAAACAGAACTATTCACACCTGAAATGATTCTGCAATACAAGTTAGCCACAAAACATTTTCTTCTTTTAACTTACCCCTACAGTCCCAGTTTTCAGCTTAAATTTGCTCCCCCCTTTCATGGCACCAAACATGGGTAAAGTTAGCTTTTTAGGCTTGTTTTGCGCTTCTGGATCTTGACTTCCAAGCCTACCAAAAACAAAACAAAAGAATATAAATGGATGAATGTACAAAGCTTTTACAACAACACCAAAAGGGTTAGCACTAGATGGGACGAATATAAAAACGGATTGGCTTTTTGGACGAAAATAGCCGATTCGTCAAATATTCATCAATCTGTATCTGTCAAATTATAAGTCTCGACAAATATGGATTGATGAATATTTTGCTGTGTTTTTTTAATAACCCCCACCCCCCCAAATAACTTTGTTATTCGTCGCTTCATGGGGGAAATGTGCTTTGTGAGTCATCAACTTTTGAGGACTCATGAAGCGGGACGACTCGCCAAAATGGTGAGTCATTCCCATCTCTAGTTAGCACTTAAATGACTGCAGTAGATGCTCTGGCTCATGTGAAAAACCCACATTCAAAATTCTCCTTAAGTGCAAGCTCAGTGAGGGGCTGTGGCCAAGTCACACGTTTTAAGGCGAGTATATATAAAATGTCATCAGACGCAGACTATGCAACTGTGCAGTCTTGGTCTCCCAGGCATAAACCTACTTCCCTTGCCTTTTTACATGGGGTTAGAAGTTATTTTGGCTCCACCATTACTACTAGTCAGGGTTGCATTTCATACAGAATTTGGAACCAGCCCTTTGGAATATTCCAGTGCCACATTCTGTGCAATTCGTCTCCACACTGCAGTACATGTACATTTAGCAGCAACAAAGTACAGTGCAAGATGGACATGACTCACAAGTTGTAAGTGTATTACGTGCTATCATGTCGCTTCCACCTTATGGTGACCCTATCAATTCCTGACTTCTAACAGGTTCTGCCACTGACAGTCCTGGGTACGTCATTATGACTAAAAGCTGTAGCCTTTATTGAAGGTCTTCCACTATTCCTTCAGTTTCCATGAATGTTAACAATTACTGTTCCACATAAATAAGACTCACTGGGATTTCAGTTCTGGCATTGATGCAGGTGTAACGATCTTTATCAGTCCTTTCAACCGTTGCTGTTCCTTCTTCAGTTCAAAAGTCCGCAAGTGAAGCTTTCTACGTGTCACACTATCTAAGGCATAACCTGATTTTATTTCTGTCATGAATTCATCCAAAGAATCTTGAGCTGCTGACTGCGATTGTGCTGTAGAAAGTCACATAAATAAACAGTCATGTTATGAAATTACATGGATACATTTCAATTTTTATCCAAGGAAAAGATGCTAGGAGTGGACATAGTGTTTGTCAACTGGGATTAGCTCTAAAAAAGAATAGTATCTATGCCATCCAGTATTTAAAATTTAAATATATTTTTTCACGATTTAAGCAATTTACCAGAATACAGGAATATTTGTTTGTTTGTTTGTTTGTTTGTTTGTTTGTTTGTTTGTTTGTTTGTTTATTATATTCCTGCCCAGCCCATCTAGTCATTCAACTACTCTGGGTGGCGTACATCATACAAAATAAACAGTTAAAATAACATTAGTTTCAAGCATAAAAAGTCATTCAAGATGGAAAAACAAGTAGATTGTGTTAGAGTTTTTCATGTTCAATCAATCTCCAAAATGCTGAGATATCACAGCTGTTAGAGGGTGTTACTCAGGTAATATAGAAATAATATGGTATGTCTGGGCTAGATTCAGCTTCAGCATGGAGATGGATGGACATCAGTGACAGGGTGTTGGACTAAGATTTGTGTGTTTGCTGGAATAGACACACAGGGTCTATGCAGCTGAATCTATGATTCCATACTACAAGTGCACAACTGGCAATTAGAGAAGTATATTTGTTTCGTTTTGGGTTCTTTTGGGGACAGGTGCCCATTTTGTTGTTATCCATTGCGTATCCCACTAGAGCCCGCCTGTGTAGCCTTGGACAAGCTGCACAGTCCCAGGGCACCCTCGGAAGGGAATGGTAAACTGCTTCTCAGTATTCTCAACCTAGAGAACCCTGAATAGGGTTTTCATGTATCAGAACTGACTTGACAGCACATGATTACTCATTATTTTGTTGTTGTATTTTTATGCACTCGTCCTTTTCTTTTATGTGAAAGGAAAAGCCTCTTTCAGGTCATATAGTATTTTCTTTTTCTTCATTCATGTTTTCCAGCACTCCAGAAGCCCAAGTCCTTTAAAGCCATTCAGTAAAAGAAAAGGCTAGGTAATACAGAATCAACCTACTCCAACAGCAGGCAACAGTACAACCGACAGTAATAACTACCCACACAGACCAGTGGCACACTGGCACAGTCACAAAGTCCATCCATGGAGACAACAAAATCTCACAGAAGGAAACATAACATTCCTTCTAAACCGCACGAAATTATACACCTTTAGCAGAATAAATACACAGTAAGGTAAGCAAACAGTAATTAAAAAAAATAAACAGAGAAAACACTATGCTACAAACAGGAGAAAAACAGCAAAAAAATAAAAAATAAATCACACACAGCTCCTTCACCCAAAGCCCAACAAAAAAATTAACCTTCTCTCCTCCCAAAAACACAAAGAGGAGAAAAATAAAAAATAATCCCAAGGCATGCTGGCACAAGCAAATGGCTGGTAGCAGCAAAAATAATCCAACAGGTAGAAAAAAATCCCTCCAAAGCAACAAAAACAAGGAAAAAGAAGAGAAAGGATCCAAGATGGATGCAAAGAGGCAGGCAGCACAAACCAAGATGGAGGACAACAGGAGCTCGGCCCCACAAAGTAATCCACAAGAAATAATTAAAGCAAAAAGCACTCCTCACTAGATTCTAAACAATCTAGGCCATTTTACAGATTCAAAAATTCCCACTCCCCTTGACATTCTGACTGGCTGTTGACAACAACCCTCATGACACTACTGGATGGAAAACTTCTCAGGCAATTTGACATATAAATGGTGAAAAAAACTTTACATAAAAGAGGGGAAGGAATAAGGAAACTTTCATGTACCCCTCTTTCATAAATACAAATCATTAGAGGCTCTCTTTGCAATCAATGAAACAACATGAATCCTGTACGCACCAGTGCATACACTTTCTGGCTCATAATACCGATATAAGAGCTCATGGTTAAGGGCAGAATGAATAAAAGCAATTATTTTTTTTAAAAAAAACATGATTTAAATCATGATCATTTAATTTAAATCATCAAAACAAATCAGATTTTTAAAATCTGAATCATGATTTACCGTATTTTTCGCTCCATAAGACACACCTTTCCATAAGACGCACCAATTTTTTAGGAGAAGAAAACAGGAAAATATAATCTGTTTTCTTCTCTCCATAAAATGCATAGACTTTCCACTCCCCTGTTTTGTGGGAAAAAAGTGCATCTTATGGTGCGAAAATTACGGTAAATTAATTTGATTTAAATCCAATCCTCCCTGAAAGGGCATAAAATTGGAGAGGAAAAGAAAACAAATGAGAAAAAATTAAGAAGCAACACAACATACAGAAACAAAACAAATGGCAGTGACAGGAAAAAGCATGAGGCTGTAAACAGCTCCAGTGAAGCCCACAGCCAACAACATAAATAATGAGGAGAAGAAACCAAAAAGACAGAAGAAGGAAAAGATAGAGGCTGGAAAGCTGGCAAACTCAGAAAAGATGGAAGAGGCAAAGACAAGCCTAAAATTGAAGAGACCAATTTACGCACTCAGTGAGTTTGTCCAGGGTTTCTTTTGCTACCTCAGCTTCACTATCAGTCATAATTCAGATTTGTGAGCACACCAGGGCAACTATGAAGTAGGTACAAAAGGTACAACCCTGAGCCTGAAAGTTCTAAGTATTTACACCTTCCCTTAAACTTAAGTTGGGGAATACTATAAAAATATTAGGAAAATAAGAAGGCTGACAGTGAAGAAGTCTAACAGGAAGAAAAAACACCAGTTCACCTTAAATATGGTGTTGGAGAAGAGCTTTGATGATTCCCAGAACTGTCAGAAGATGAATGAGAGGATGCTAGAGCAAATCAGGCCTAAAATATCTCTGGAGGCAAAAATTACAAAAACGAGGCTGTCCTGTTTTCAACACATCATGAGAAGGCATGAATTTCTGGAAAATACAATAATGCTATGGGAAAAGGCAGCTGGAACAAGAAGAAGACCAAATATGAAATGGATGGACTCCATAAAGGAAACAGCAGGCTTGAATTTACAAGAACTGGGCAGGACTGTTGAGGACAGGCCATTCTGGAGGCTCATCATAAGTTGAGGACCACTTGACTACACGTAACAACAATCTGAATTAGATTGAGAAATTAAGAGTGCATTATTAATATGTTTCTCCATAAATGGCAAAGACGTGGGATTGTGAAATTAAATTTATCTCAATTTAATCTCACAATTACAACCAAGAAAGTAATGTAATAGAACTGTAAAAATGCAAAAGTAGTTAGGGTTCAGATTTTAGCACAACCTGTATAGCCTGGGCTTCTGACTATTCTGCTTAAGCGAGCAACACCTGAGAAATAAATGTAAGGAACTATAGCAGGTGCCAGAAATTGTGAAATCAGCCACAAGATGAACTTGTAACCTAATATGGAAATGTTCATGTGAAAAACACAACACTTGTGTGTATGGCAAGTGTTGTGATTCAGTACAAAATATGTGCAATTTTGAGAAATATTGCTCTTTGAGACTTATTCAAGTTCCCCTGCACTGTGCCTTTTTTTGGTTGCTTAGAACAGCTTCGTTAGTGTTTCTTAACATTTTTCTTCGACACCAAAAGAACCCAAATGAAGCAAAAACAAACGTCTTCACCATGCACCTCCTTAGCGCACATGACACCAACTTCAATACAGTGGTGCGTCGCTTAGCGATATTAATTTGTTCCGAAAAAAATCATTGCTAAGCGATTTCATCGCTAAGCGAAACGCGGTTTCCCATTGAAATGCATTGAAAACTGGATAATCCGTTCCAATAGGAATGAATTGCCGTCCTTAAGCGAAAATCGCCATAGGAAACATCGCTAAGTGAAACGCGGTTCCCCAACTGAAATGCACTGAAACCTATTCAATGCATCTCAATGGGGGGAAAATACAACAACAAATTAAAAAAGAGTCAGAACAAAGTCAAATTTGGTTAACAAAGGGGTTATTAAGTGCACTTTATGATTTCAAACATTTTAAACAGTAAACTTTAACTTTATAAATAACAGAAAAACATTTAAAAAACAGCAAACATGAGGCTGTTTAAACCATCGTTAAACGAAAGAGGGGACACAAAATTTAATCGCTATGTGAAGCATGGTCCCAACCATCACTAAGCGAAAATCGCCCATAGGGACCATCGCTAAACGAAGTGCAAACTGCTCCGAAAAAGTCGTCGCTAAGCGATTTCGTTGCTAAACAGAGCGCCCGTTAAGTGAGGCACCACTGTACAGTATTTGTAAGTAGAGCAACAAGTGCAATTTCATCTGACCAGCTAAGAACAAAAAGTCTAATGACATATATTTGCATCCCTGGATACAATTCTAAGCTGCTATGAAATTCCTCAAAAAGTTCTACATCCACCAACTGTATGCCTGGCACTCTGCTTTTGGGATTAGTCTGCATGACCAATACACGGAATTGGTTTCCACTGTACTTCAACTGATCAATAATTTGTATTATCTACATATATACACATTATACTTTGTTCCCATTTACTCTCCCCCAGTTTTAATATATAAAGAAGTGATCTTACCTGTCTTTGAAGACTTCAGCTTCTCGGCTATCTGAGAGAGTTCCTTTTCAGTTGCATTTAACTTTGCCACCTAACAGAAAATATTGGAAAGTTGGAAAGATACATATCCATCTACAATGCCTTAACAAAATCCTTAAAATAAAAGGCAGTCACTTTTCTGCCCCTTAATGTAAGAGAAATCTGGAGCACAGAAATTAACAAAAGCATATTTACTGTGGGATGCCTTCCCTAAAGACATAAACTTTATTCTTTTCAGGCACCAGGTAAACTGATTTCTATTTAACCAGGCATTGTAACTACATTGATAGTTTTAAATATAATCTTAAATTGTGCTTTTTAAACTCTCATTTTTGTACTTGTACTTGTTATCTGCAGTTTCCATTTCTGTGAAGCATACAGACCTCTTTACAGTAGTTACATTGTTAAATATTTTAAACAAACTGTACACATCTCTAGCTAGCTACTGAGGTTTTTTCGGCCTTTATGCACTAATGAGTAAAATCTTTACTTCTATATGCTACCAACCTATGCAACTTCCTAAGTTGCCTAGTTAGTTTTGTGTGTGTTGTATTTTTCATAAAACTACTACTATTCTCATTTTGGCTACAATAGATTAGTAAGCCCACTCCTCTGGATTTATCTATCACAAAGAGATAACATAATGGAGGAAAACAAATGTCTCATGTTCCCTCTGTAGGCAAGGTAACTGCAGAAAGACAAAAAAAATCTGCCAGATCTTGAGAAGACTCTGTGGCTCAGGAAACAGGAAAATATGTTGTTTACTGATGCTTTCCAATATGAGTTCTGGAAGATTTCCTTTTTCTCCTCTGGGCTCAGGTGGGAAGCGTAGTCAGCCTTGCAGTGCATCTTGGAGAAATTCAGCAAGCAGTAAGAAGACACTAACTTTCAAATTCACCTCCTCTCCACCAGCCCAGAGCAGAGGTGGAGGCTTGCCCCTATAGTTTGTGCTCAATCCCAAGAATATTCCCAGCACATCTAAAACTCATGGTGATATCACAGTCAACACCCACCTATTCAATTTGGAGGGTGTGGTCACTAATGAGTGCAAATTTTGTTTAATGGTCACGGTAAGCCAAATCTTATGGATCTCTATCAGAAGCTGTTCTTACCAGTGAATCGTACGTTTCTGGCTTTTCTTCTAACTTCCCCGCTTTCTTCATTCTGTTCCGCCGTTTCTGCTCAATAACGCCTGTCCGATCAAGGAATGTATCATCATCACTATCATAGAAGTCTTCCTCTTCCCAATTTTTTGCTTTTCTTTTTCGGGACACTAAGGAGAATGCAGGCAAATGTATCAAATCATGAACAACTGAAGAATCTAATAATTGTGAAACCAATACACAATTTCTAGTACAACTTTAATGATAGTTAACTCATTTCACATTATTTCTGAATAACCAAATCTACAATATACAGTATACTAACATTCCCAGAGTTCTTGTGAAGATAAAGTGGGATAGTACCATTAACAGCAATGTGTAAAAAAGAGGGTGAGATATGTGACTTAAAAAAATGAAACAGCATACCACATTTAAATTTAAATGTACAAAGCCAGTTAACCTACCTGCCTCTTGCCGCAGCACACCCCTAGCATCCAGTATTCTACAAGCCTCCAATGCACACTGGATCATTGCTTCTTTTTTCTTCCCCGAATGAACTGCTTCTGCTACGAGCTGCTTCCCCGATGCATCATCCACAGGGAGCCTGTTCAATTCATAAGGTTACAGTAAGAACAAGATCAATAATGATCCAAAATCATGCTCAGTGTTAGCCTGTCCATGATCAAAACTGTTCTCCAAAATAACCTCAGTCCATTTGGCTATAAAACATCTCGACACTGATTTCTGAGTTAGCTAAAAGAGATAATTAAAACCACATTGAAAGAAAGGTGGTGTTTTGTAAGCATTTTTATGAGTATCACACAGCAACTTTTGGAAGTTAAAAAAAGCCAAGTGGAGTTTGTCTCTTCAGAATGATTTGGTCTGCAATGGCATCATCAGGTGGACAAGTCTTGTTCACTTAAAGATCCCCAACTAGTTAAGATCATTCATATAACTAAAGCAGACAAATACAGTAGTAAGAACAAAAAGTTCTTGAGGTTTGAGGCATTGCTGTCCTTCTCTGAACAAACTACTCCTGACCAAAGACATTAAGTTTGAGCAACTGATAATTACGGTGAAAAGCTCACAAATATATATCTCAAATAGGAGAACTCAATTTTTTTGGAGAACTATATATAGTGAATAATAGGCACTGTAATTTTATGTTCAGATATTAAAGAGAAACATTCTGTAAGACATCAGTATCAATTTAGCTCTATCCTGGCACTACTATATATGGTGATAATGAATACTCAATAGAAAAAAGAATAATGCTGAGAAGACTGAAGGCAACAGCAGGCCTGACTTAATAAGGAAAGCCACTGCCTTGAGTCTGTAAAGCTGAGCAGGATTCATAATAAAACCTTTTGGCTGTCACTATTTCATGGCATTGACATGGTTAAAGTGACTTGATGACACATAACAAATATGAATCCTCAAGAAGTTAGGAGTGTGCTACCACTGATTTCCAAGATTTCAAACTACACTCCGAGCTGTTCTCTGTGAATAGAGGCCAATATATTTCTCCTCCTCAAATTTATTTCTAACACAGTCATGTGAAAAGGAAAGTACACCTTCTTTGACTCCTATGGTTTTACATAACATGACATAAGAAAAATCATCTGGCCCTTAGCAGGTCTGAAATTAAGAAAATACAACCTCAGATGAACAACAACATATTACATTGTGTCACCATTTAAACAACAACAACAACAACAACAACAACAGGGAGAAGCCATATATGAAAAACTAAGTAAACCCTTACTGCTTTCATAGGAATTAAGAGGCTAAGTAGCAGCCAGGTGCGTGTTAACACAATGCCAAGGAAGAAACACATCAGCAATGATTGTAGAGAAGCAACTGTTGCTGCTCATCAATCTGGGAAGGGATAGAAAGTGAACTGTCAAGCACAGCGGTGGAGGGCTTAGGATTTGGGCTTGTTTTGCAGTCACAGGACCTAGGCACCTTGCAGTCACTGAGTCGACCATGAACTCCTCTGTACTCCAAAGTATTCTAGAGTCAAATATGAGCTCATCTATCCGAAAGCTAAACCTGGCCAAAATTGGGTCAGGCAACAGGACAATGATTTCAAGCACATCAGCAATTCTACAAAAGCATGGTTGAAAAAGAAAAGAATCAAGGTGTTGCAATGATCCAGTCAAAGTCCAGACCTCAACTTGATTGAAATGCTGTGGCGGGACCTTAAGAGACCTGTGCATAAACAAATGCCCACAAACCTCAAAGAACTGCAGCAACGTTGTAAGAAGAGTGGGCCAAAATTCGTTCACAACAATGTGAGAAACTGAAAGTCATACTAAAAACCATTACTTCAAGTTATTGCTGCTAAAGGTGGTTCTACAAGCTATCGAATCAAAAGGTGTACTTTTTGTACATGGCTTCTCCATTTTGGCTTTATTTTTGTTAAATAAATTGTGACATGGTGTAGTATGTCATGTGTTGTCATCTGAGATTGTATTTACCTAATTTTCAGACCTGCTACGGACCAGATGATTTTTATTATGTCCTGACATAAAACCATAGGATTCAAAGAGGGTGTAATGTATTTTTCCATGTATAAGACTATACTTTTGTCTAAAATCTTTAGACTAAAAATTTAGGGTCGTCTTATACATGGAAGTAAGCCGAGTAGAGAAAAAAAGTGGAGGGGAAAGCAGGGATCAAAGCGATCCTGCAGGGCTTTGATCCCTTCTTTCCCCTCCACTTGCTAAGCCTTAGCAAAAGGAAAGCAGGGATTAAAGAATGGCTGCAGAATGGCTTTGATCCTTGCTTTCCCCTCTGCTTACTAAGTCCCATAGGGCTTAGCAAGTGTAGAGGGAAAGGATCAAAGCAATTCCGTGGCTGTATAAGGGGAAAGGGATCAAAACAATCATGCAGTTGCGGGATTGCTTTGATCCCTTTCCCCCTCCTTTTGCTAAGCCCCGCGAGGCTTAGCACAAAGGGAGAAAGCAGGCATCAAAGTGATCCTGCAGTGCTCTGATCCCTTCCCCCCTACACTTGCTAAGCCCCAGTTAGATTTCTTAATTTTGGGTTAGAAAAGTGTGTGGGGGTCTTATACACGGGGGCATCTTATACACGGAAAAATACAGTACTTTCTTTTTCACATGACTATATATAATACCTGAATGGAGTTTTATTTGCAAATAAACAAGCATTTAAATAGTATTAGTAGACTGGCTTTGGATTGGCATTAGTAGGATATTTCAGTCATTGCTTGTATAATGACTCCCAGTGTATAATGACTTCCTTACACCTTTCCCTAACCACGAGGGAAGAAAAATGATTATGTTAGTATGTGCCACTGAAAGCTGAAATAAATCTATAGTGACAACAGTATGGTAGATTTTAAGTTGAAATCACATAAGCCACATGTCTTCTCTTCATATGGGAAAGCCAACTTATTCAGCTCCTTCCAAATTATATTCCCATTGCAGACATGTAATGAAAATGAAGAAACATTATGCTTAAGTTAGTATCTGACTATATTCAAAAATAAGGCTGTGATTATTATTTCTACATTGCTATCTCAGTGCTCAAATCCAATTCCAGATATAATTATTTCATTTATTTGTCTTATTTATAGGCTACATTTCTCCTAATAAGGAGATTCAATATATAAGGTATACAACCTCCCTCAGCATCACTAACTGACAGAAAGATTCAACTATGCATAATTATTGTATATTACATACATACTTCACCCTACAAAGCCAGGTTCCAGTTCCTTGGGCATCAAATTCATATTCTAGTTCTTCACCTGGAAAAGAAAGAACAGAAACTGATTTACTTGTATATATTAACTGAATGTTTTCTCTCTCTCAAGAAAATGAGTAGATTATTTACCGTTAGCAAATTCATCTTTATTTCTTTGTTAACAATGAATTATATGGATTAAGTGCACACTTAATGTTTCCAAATGGCTGACAACAATGATTCAAAATATTCAGCCAAGTAATGTTAACTATGCATTAAATTCTTCACCCCCTGTACATTCATAACAAGGTCTTAAATTCTTCCATCAAACTTAATACCACAAACACGTCTAGACCTTATCTTGCAATAATTTAGGATAATTAGCTATGTTCAGTCCCAGTCAAAAAAAAATTAAATTGGGAACACACAACTGCTAGGCTAAAGATTAATAAACATCCCAGGTATTTCAAAGCCTTTGTACAGATTAAAGGATAATATAGTACTTAAGCTTCATTTTGATATATGAGCTTTAGTTGACAACCTAATTTACATTCCAGAAATCCATTGTCCCCTTAGAAAATACTAGGACTACCTGTTTATAAGGTATCCTTCTTACACAATGAAATCAATGATTTCTTCCACATGCTTTCCTTCACACTGGCTGCTCTTCTACATTTATTTATTTACAAGACTTTTTTTAGCCGTGCCATTACCAATGGTCACTGAGCAGTGTACAGCAATATTAAAACTTTAGAACCACATTAAAAACCATTAAAATAATACCCAATATTATAATAACACCCAATCTTAAAACAGTCAATTTATCATTAAAAAATCCTGCTGCTCATACGGCCAGCAAAAGGATACTATTTAATTAAAATGCTGGCTAAAAAGAAAGGTCTTTGCCTGGCACCAAAAAGACAAAAGTGTTGGAGCCAGGCGGATCTCTATAGGGAGCATGTTCCAAAGTTGGGCGGCAACAGCCGAGAAGGCCCTACAGTGGACCCTCTACTTACGGAATTAATCCATATTGGAACGGTGGCTGCAGGTCGAAAAGTCTGTAGGTCGAATCTCCATTGACCTACAATGCATTGGAAACCGATTAATCCCTCAACCAGCCATTTTTGTTCCATTTTTGTTCCATTTTGGTTTTTTTCTGGTCTGTAGGTCGATTCTCTGGCTGCAAGTCGAACCTAAATTTTGCAGCCAGAGAACTCTGTAACTCGAAAAGTCTGTAAGTCGAGCCGTCTGTAAGTCGAGGGTCCACTGTATTTTGGTTTGGTTTTAATAGGATTAGGTTTTATTTTGTGTTGCTATGTCAGTTTTAATGTTGAAAAATAGCATATAAATTAAAGAGAGAAATGCACGGAACATAGCTCTGCTGAACACCACTAGCCACTATCGTGTTTCCCTGAAAATAAAACAGGGTCTTATATTAATTTTTGCTCCAAAATAGCTGTATGGCTTATTTTCAGGGGATGATTTCTTTTTTTCACGTACAACAATCTATGTTTATTCAAATTCAGTCATGTTATCTTCTGTTTGCTGCACATTGGTGGAGGGTGGGCTTTCACTTAACTAGTGAAATGGGGTAGGGCTTATATTATGAGCATGCTGAAAAATCATACTAGGGGTTATATTCAGGGAAAAAGGGTAGATAAGCATGATAGGTAACAGACACACCTTCTCTGTCAAAAAAACCTTGCAATGCCTTCTTTGGATCTTTCAAATAAAAGGCTTCTTGATCTTCCTGAAACTCAATAGCAATTGGGTTTTCTTCACCTTCTTCTTCCTCTGCATCTTCGCCTAAAAGACAAGGACAATTAGGAATGGGAGCTAAAGCAGATGCAAGATGCATCCTCTTTTGTTATAATTATGAGAAGAAAAATCTGTATTATATAAAAATATATTTAAAACCCAATGTTTTTCTATAAGATTCTACAGCTATACGCTGAATACATGAGCCATCCTGGTTAGGATGTGGAAATGAGAGGGATGGCTGGAGGGTTACACAGGAGGCTGGTATCAGTGACCAGCGCTGGGCACACAATTAGGTTCATATATTGTGCCATCAAAGTTACAAAATAAAGGGGAAGGAACACAGATTTTTCGAACAATAATTCCCAACTTCAGTTCTTGAGTAAGTAGTAAATTGAGAACTGCAATAGAAACCAAATACACTTCCAAACAATTAAATGAAATTAAAATTTATAAACTCTAAAGCTGAAATCTCAAATTTCCTGTGACATATTGTATACTTCATACTGTAAATATTCAGTTTTTCAAAAAATATATTCAACCATAATTGTATATATCACATTAATCACACTAATTTAGGATATCAGACTTTAAGCTCTGTAACTAATGACCATATTTGTACAGTATATTAAAATTATGAATCAGACTGTAGGTGTTTATCTCTATTTCATAACTTCAGCTTTTTCCAATAATAGTCACACATGCATAAATTTATTCAGAATGGCTGAACTTTAGAAATTCATTACTGAATTAAAGAATTGAGGAAAAATAACAGGAACTATATTTTTACCTTGGAGATATTTAATGTGCTAACCTGATGGTTAGTATCATGCTATTACATATATATAATGAATGAAAAACAGAAGACATATTAAGTGTAGTGCCAACCTTCGTTCTGTGTTCTCAGATGCCATAACAGGAATATTTGGTGGAGAATATGCTTTCCATACCACAGATCCAGGTAGGCCTGGAAAGACTTGTCTGAAACCTGGAGAGCTGCTTCCAATCAACGTGGACAATACTAAACTAGCTGGACCAGTGGTCCTGACTAGATATAACACAGTTTTACTTCCTTGATATAAGACACCTTCCTGCCATTCCCATGATAGTCTATTTTTCTGGCACAAAAGCTCGTGTATGGGTCCAGACATGTCTTACATACTATATAAAAGTGACAGGAATTTCCCCAACAGTGTTTAAAGCATGGGAAACATCAAAAGAGAATACAGTGGTACCCTGCTAGACGATTACCTCGCAAAACAGTTAATTCGCTAGATGACAAGTTTTTGTGATTGCTATAGCGCTTCACAAGACAGTGTTTCCTATGGGCGATTTTCGCTGGACTATGTTTCGGACCATGCTTTGCAAGACTATTTTTGGGGACCAATTTTCGCAAGACAACAATTTTGACAGCTGAGTCCGCGACTCACAAAATGGGTGTTTTCGGGATTGTTTTATGCAAGATAGCGATTTTTACAGCTGATCTGCGCTTCGCAAAACAGTTTCTCTATGGGCGATTTTCGCAAAATGATGATGATTTTTCACCATTGGAACACATTAAATGGATTTCAATGAATTCCAATGAGGAACTGAATTTCGCAAGACAATGTTTTCACAAGACAGTGATTTTCGCTGAACGAATTAATATCGTCTCGCGGGGCACCACTGTATGATCTAGGAGTATGGTAAGCATCATTTTGATTCAGATATTAATTGGCATACGAAAGCCACATGCACGATTGTCTGAAACAGCCTTTAGCTAGAACAGAACCACTGAATCAATGGAACTTGTGGGGGAAATGATTCACCAAATTGCCACTAATTGAATGGGACTACTTTAGTTTTTACTTACTACTGGATTTCGGCCATTGTCAGGCAAATACTGGAATTTATCTCTAATTCCAGCAAAATAGACAATACAGCGTAGAAACAGCTTAATCTACTTGTACTATCAAAATGTCTACATGTTAAATCTTACCAATTCCCCAGGAACAACTCAAATCATTATTCCGATTGTTTTCATTTCTTGGTTCTTCCTTTTCTATTTGATCTTCATCAGAATCATCACCCAGCATTGTTTTCTCTAACTTAGCTTGCTGCTTTTTATGCAGTTCTTTCAACTGGGTTACAGTCAGTTCTGATTCAGGTTCTTGATCCTCCTCTGGACCCTGCAGATTAAATTACAACCTTCATAATTGTATGCATAGGACAAAATTATTTTCATAACATGACTGTACCCATATTTATACAAAAAGAAGTTGAATAAGTTCATAGGGGCTTATTCTCTCATAAGTATAATTGTGACTTGAGTCCAAGACGTATACGTGTTACAACCTGTAAAGACAACCACATTACAATTTACTACTTGCATATACCAGTTGATAAGATTTTAGTTCTCTTCTCTCTATAAACTGGATGCTGTAAAACACAGTAAATCTTTCTCTGCTAAAATTAGAAAGTAAAGCTGCTTCTTTCTCTTCAGAACACATGTGAGAAAGCAGAAACATAACATATTAAGGCATATGCTTTTACAGTGTTGAAAAGTCAGGTGCAATCCTGAGGTTGAAGAATGCCTCAAAAGCTTTGCAAAGTACAAACCATACAAACATCAGTTTTTCTGATATTACAGAAAAACACCTTCCATAGTTTTTGCTTTTTGTTTCTCACAAATCCTTTGAATATATTAACAGGAAACCACTGGAGCTGAGTGTATAAGTTGTGTCAAGCTCTAATACTGGAGTGCACAACTTGTGCTCTGGGAGTTTGAGAATAGCTTAACTCCTACAAACACTTGTTTGAATTGAAAGATATGAAGCAAGACCTATGAAACACAGGTAATTCAAGTAAACATGTACAATGTGTCCATACTATAAAAGCATCACTTCTATGTCAAGTACTGCCTCTTGTCCTACAAACACTTGTTTGAATTGAAAGATAGTGCAATCCTAAACTCATTTGCTATGAAGCAAGACCTAAACACAGGTAATTCAAGTAAACATGTATAATGTGTCCATACTATAAAAGCATCACTTCTATGTCAAGTACTGCCTCTTGTATTCCACTATTAGCATCTAAAGGATGTGTGTCTGAGGACAGAGCCACTTCAGTCTCTCTGATCGAGTAACAAAGGTTAAGAACCACTGAAAAGGATGTGTGTGTGAGGACAGAGCCGCTTCAGTCCCTCTGATAACCTGAAGAAGTGGATTTGTCCACAAAAGCTCACATTAAAACACAGCAGTTAGTCTTTAAGGTACAAGGGCTTCATAATTTTTTTTAACTTTTTTTCCCCTGATCACCTGCATCACCATACCATCTTGAACCCACCCCATTTTCTCCAATCCTGGAAGTGAAGCAGAGTGGCACAATTTGAGTGGAGAATCAGTAGTGATCTCCTAGTGAGGACCCCAACAGAAACCCTTGGGAACCAGGGCCATTCAGGACCGACAATACAGTACTACGCTAGGCAGACGAATGGTCTGACGTCTTGAAAGGCATCTCGCCCTGTTCTCACCTGCAAGACGAAGAGGCGACTGCTACCCCCAAAACGCAGGACGTGGCCGACCCGGACACGGCAATATGTGCGGGGCGGGACCCGAACTTTATTGAGGAAGGTGCCGTGCGCGCTGTCCAGGTCGTAGACGTAGAGGCCAGCTTCGGGACCCTTCTCTTCCCGCCTCGCCGGATCCCCCGGGTTTTCTTCATCCTCAGCGGGAGGCGGGCGATGCTGAAGCACGGCGTGGTGCCGCGAAACACACGGGTGAGCCAGGGAGAGGTGGCAGCCCGGCGCACGGCCCACCATCACCCAGCTCCGGCCGCCCAGGCTGATGCTCTCCAGCACCGCGCCGCCTTTCAGCACCTCCAAGCTGTAGCCGGGGGAGCCGTCCGCTGCGACGCAGCCTCCCCACGACGGCTCCTGGTACTCCGGCAGGGCAGATGCGCAGGGACCCGGGGCAGGGCCTCGCGGGGGTTTAGGGGCCGCGGGGTCCGGTAGGGCACAGCCCCGCGGGAGTTTGAGAGCCGGTGCTGCCGGCGCGCCCTCCGCTGCCTTCTCCCGAGTGGGAGGCGGCGGCGGCGGCGGCGGGAGGATCGGCTTCTTGAAATCTTCCTCCATCTCTTCTCCTTCCCGGGGTTCCGCCATTTTAGTGTGTCCGTTCCTCTAAGTGGTCCCCGTGGGAAACTCTTTCCCTGCGCACGTCGGTTCCGGGTAAGCGTGCCACCGTCCTTAGGGGCTCGGCTCTCCAGCTCCGCCCGAAAGAAGTGCGGGAGGGATTTTTCGTAGCTCGGTGACGGGAGGCAAGGCGAGCAAGAGAACGAGGGAGATGGAGCGTCGTCGTTGAGGGAAGGATCCTGGTATGCGTGCAGTTGAACGCTTACAAGGGGATCCCGAGTCTAGAGAGCGAGGAAGGAGCGGAAGTCGGACTTGGGAGGCCTCGAGGTAGGAAGAGGGTCTCTAGGAGGCCGTCCCTCCACCCGCCTGCATCCCTTGAGTGCTGTGGGGCAGGGATGCCTCCTGGGCTGGTATGAGTTGGGACACATGGTCGCACTTTTGATCTCTGTTTTTTTCCCCGGACAAACTGACGACTACTGTGCAGATTGCTTCCCATTTCTTATGTTGTCTAAAACTGTTGCAACTCATTTCTGTGCGTGGTTGGGGCTGGTAATTGAATTCATTGTGTTCCACGGACTATGGTTGAGAGTGGATCGTGATGACCCTGGAGGGTGAAAATCTGGTTAACAGACCAGAGTTTTAAACTTACTCGGTTCTGGGAGTTCCGACTTTCTACAGGTTCAAAAACGTGGGTGTTTCTTGTCTCCTGCACTATGGGACCATAGCACCTCGCACAGAACTGGTTCCGTTATACAATACTTTGGAAGCTAAGCCGGATCAGGTCCAGTCAGCAGTTAGATGGGAGAATCTGTGGAGATTCCATCTTCAAATCCTGGAGAGCTGCCGCTAGTCAAACTTGGCAGTATTACCAAAGATTTGATTGAGCCTGAGTAAGTTTGGTATGATGTGTGTGTGTGTGTGTGTGTGCGTGCGTGCGTGCGTGCGTGCGTGCGCGCGCCTGCACCTGAGTAAGCTTGGTATGATGTGTGTGTGTGTGTGTGTGTGTGTGTGTGTGTGTGTGTGTGTGTGTGTGTGTGTGTGTGTGTGGGTGTGTGTGCACTTACTCACCCAAAAACACA